AAAATGATTCAGAAAGGGGGGTTATTCCTGTGCCCTATGTCTCTTTGTTTCAGGACACTGAGGCGTGGCTGGAATCAAAGCGATTGGTGATTGACAGATTACTGAGTCTAGAGGCAAAGCAGCAAACTCCCAGAGCACGAAGCCCTGAAGCAGCATTGCAGAGGTCGGTTCCCATTTGTCCTCTTCATTTGCTGCCTGCCCTCACCTTGGACAGAGTTACGCCTGCGTGAATGAGAAAGGGAAACTGTCTCTGCACTTCCTCTTTCAAGTCCTTCTGGAATCTCACCAAGACCTTTTGCTTCTGCTGCTTCTTTTGCTCTTTTCTGAAGCAGCCTGAGAGCTCACTGTCACCTTGTCATGCCATTTTCGCTTCACTTCCTCCCTTTCCCAGCAGCACAATCTCTCTGCCTTGTCTCTCCCTCAGGCTCTTAGAAGCCAACAGACATCTGACAGCAGAGGGTGGGGCAATCCTACTGCAGCGAGGAGCAACTGAGACACCCGCTGGTAAGGGTCTGCGTGGAGACAGGGCTCATCCCAGTGCTGGGCCAGCCCTGGGTGTGGGATGGGAGCAGTGCCAACAGCCATTGTCTTCCACAGGGTACAGGGTGCCCTAACTACAATTTCATGCAGCCTGAATGGGAGCAATTAAGTCTGGAGGCAGAGCTCTCCATTCCCAGTAGCTGGGTTTGGTGCTTGAGTCCTGGAACACCAAAAGAAAAGAAATTAAGAAAGGAGAAATCTGAATTAATCCTAATCCTCCTGTCTCAAAAGTCTTGGGCAGACCCCAGAGGGGAGGAGAAGCAGAGCAGCTCCTGCGAGACACTAAAACCTTCTGTTTTTTCATTCCAGGGCTGGTGTATAACAGAGACATGAGAGTCCGGACGGTGAGCATTGCTCTTCTGACGTGCCCCCTGCTGCTTCTGAGTTCTGAGCTTATACAAAACTCAGCCGTAGTGGAGATCCGCTCCCTGCTTCCGCTCAGCTGGTTACTTTCTGTGCCTCTAATTCCTCCCTCTCTTTTAAACGCTGCTGTTAAAAGAGCCTCAAACATTGACTCAGCTTACAGAGTCACTGGAAAATGTTACTGATTTTTTTTTCCTAGCAGTTCCTCTGCCCCAGGGCCTCATGGCCACATTTTGTTGCCATTATAACTCTTCAGGCAGCAGCTGGATGGATGCTTTCTGTCAGCTTGTCAGGTCACCTGTGGAAGAAGGGGAGAGTGTGGAGCAAAGTCCGCATGTTTGATGTTTTGATAGCTTTGTGCTGCTTTTGAGCAAGCAGGGCCTCCTCTACCTGTGCCATTGCCAGGGTATGAAAGCCAGAGTAGTGTACTGTCTCCTTTTTAGTAAAGGGATTTTTAAAGCTTTTCTCTGGTATGAGATCATTCCCATATGTGCTGCATCCCAGCAGGCAGTGTTGCTGGCAGCCCTGAAATGCAGCTGGACAGAAGGAGCCTTTGCAGAGCCAGCTACTCTTGTGCACGGCCTGGCTGCCTGTCATGTCCCAGCATGGCAGCTTTGGGACCGCAGCCACTTCTGCCTTAAGGGCCACTAGTGCAGCAGGGGTCAGGTATACTCTTTGTTCCCAGCTGCTGTCCCTGACCTTTGCTGCCCTCCCTGTCTTTGCACCTGCAGCAGAGTCGAGAGTCCTTAACAGTGGAGCAGTGTGTGAAGCTCCTGCAGAAGATCCAGGACCGTGTGCTCATCATTGTGTGAGTGAGGCACAAGCCAAACCAACCCTTGCTGCCTTCCTGCAGCCCTGGGTGGAGGGAGTAAAGGTTAGAAAGGAGCCCTCAGGTAACCCCTCCTCTGCAGCAGCCACCCAGGCCTTTGGGCCAGTTGGCACAACAGCACAGCCTCAAACATGAAGCATTTCTGAGTTCCTTACCACTGCTTCAGGCTGGGCAGGCTCCTAGAGCACACAGAGAGCATCCTCCTTCCGGCCTAGGCTGTGCTTTTAGGCTGGGTCTCCCTGGTGCAAGGCTGACTGAGGAAATGTCAGTCCTGCCACATCCTCCTGCCTTCACGCTCCCAAACCCGTAACTTTCCATCCCTCAGCCCTACAGGAAGGGGCCATCCTGGCAAGCCTGTGACACTCCACACTGTTTCTACTTACTTTCCTCCTGGCCCACACAGCTCTTCCCCAGGTCACAGCACCCCAGCCTGCCCCCTTCTCCAGACCCAGAAACCTCTTGCCTAAGCAAACAGGTAAAATCAGGGCAGCCTCTACCTCCTCCAGCTGGTCCTAGAGCCCCTGGCCACATCCAGCTCCTGCAAGCTTACCTCTTGGGTGTCCAGGGCCAGGAGAAAAGCTGTGGGAAGGTAGCCAGTGGTTTGCGCAGAACCCCACAAGCTGTTGAGCTGTCTGGGTGGGTAGCTGGTTCTGTCCTCCTCCGCATCTGCCCTTGGAGGGCAAGATGTGCAGGGCCCTGGCTGCCTTGGTCTGTGTTGTGCCATTAGAAGACTCTCTAGGAAATAAGAAGTGCTAGAAGTTGGGAAATAAAGAGCAGTTTTGGCACCCCTGGTCTGCTAAAATCATAAGCTCTTAAGGATATTCCAGCTTACCCAGAAATACAACATCATAGTGAGCACAAGTCTTCTAGGCCATACAGAGTACATGCCTCAGTGCCTGGGATGTCATCTTGTCCCATCACCTGCAGTGGAGTAGGAGATAGCATGATCATAACTCTGCAGGAGGTCTAATGCTGGCTTCTCCAGGAGGACTGCCCTGGTACTTCCATCTCTAAGTGGGGCACACCCAGTTCAAAACAGCACTGTGGAGGGGAGAAAGGGACAGAGGGGATATGTAGAGGCTGTATGGAAGGGAAAAGGCAGAAGACATGGTGGGGCTAAGGAATGATGTATTATGAGACAGCACTTGGAGGGGAGCAATAGCTAACCAGTCTCCACTCTGATACTACCAGGCCTAAGGTTTTGAACAGATAGTTTGACAGAAAACAGCTGCCCCTCTGACTGCCATGTATGACCCTGTATCCCTGCCGTTTAAAAGCAGCTTAGAAAGAGCAGTTGTCTCTGTCACCCCCTGTCCTGGGGACAAAGCTTCTGCCCAAGACAATAGCAAAGACAAATGGAGACACACTATGTGCTGTACTGAGCCTTGCTGTTGCTTTTCAGAGCACAAGACGGACTCTTGGTTCCGTACAAGCTGGACACCAGAAATCACTTTGTGAAAGACCTACAGGAGGCATTTGAGTCTACCCTCAAAGAGGTGAGAGCAAACTCCATCCTTGGATCTCTACTGTATGGGTCCCCAACTGGGAGCAGCAGCTTGCCTTGATGGCCACCCTCAGTGGGCACCCCCCACTACGCAATTTGTCCTGAATGGCACAGCTCTCACACTGTGGGGAAGCCAACTTGACCTCTGCTGCAGGAGTCCCAAGTTAGTACTGCGCTCTAGACCCAGCTCTTCCCTAGTCCAGTCATCCCAGCCTTGTTCTCTCTTACCCCTGCCCCACAGCTTGTCTGAGGGAATGCTTTTCTGGTTCACATCTTGTATCCTTTCTTTCCAGCACATCCAGCTAATAGAGGTACCTGGGAGTCATTTTGTGCACCTGAACAAGCCTGAGGTGGTGTCTGGGATCATCAGCAACTTCCTGACAGCGCAGAACACCAGAGCCAGGCTCTAGGAAGCCCTCACTGCTGCAGCAGGCCAGGAGAACGTGGAGCTAAAAAGCAGGCTCTGGAGGAATTGTCACCATTCTTACCTCACATTCAACATCAGTTTCATTATACTCTTTCCTAACGTTGGCTCACTGCAGAGTGGAAGCAATAAAACAGGAATACAGGCAGAGGCATCCTCTGTGGGAGCAGCAGCACCAGCTGTAGCTCAGCAGGAGATGGGTGGCTCATCTTACTTCCTCCCTTAGGATGGTACAACCAGTCTTATCCTAGGATTAGAGCTACTGGAAAAACAGGAAAGTATTCTGCTTTTCTGCTTACTTCCATGGATGCCTGAGCTCAAAGGACCTTCATGTCTCCCTTCGACTGTGAGACCTGTAGAAAAAAGTCAGTTTTAAAGAACAGCTTAAATAAGAGCTCACCTGAGCACAGAAGGCCATTTTAATGAACTCCTAGGGAATGAGTCACTAATCCTCTATCTGAAGCAGCAGGGAGAATTACTAATAATGTAAAAGTTGGCAGAGATTATTTCTGTCCTTCTAAATAAAGATTAATTTCCTAATGTTAACCCTGTCTTCTTGACTCTAGAGGAGAATCCTTTCTTTTGGGATGTTTGCCCAAGCAGCTAAAACACTGATCTTGGAAGCAGTGATTTTTACATGCAGTCTGCTTTAGTTGAGGCACAATTAGGATCCATCTGCCTTCTAGTTAAATTGATGCAAAAAGCCAACTGAAGCAAGCAGGCCTGGCAGTCTCCCTATGCAATGGAAGCTGCATTGGCAGTGGGTTTTCCAGGGGAGGGTGAATGCATTTTAACCCACCTCAGTGGAAATTCCCAGTATTTCCACCTCACATTCATGGCTATACCCATATGGAGGCTGTAGAGTGACAACGGGCCCTTTCTGGTCACAGTGCACAGGGGTGGGCCATCGTTAAGTCCAAAGCTGCACAAAGGTTCTGTGGGCAGTGCAAAAGCACTGCCCCACAGCTGGATGTGCCTGTTGCCATCCTTATCTCCCTCCTACTGTCTGACAACAGGTTAAGAGAAAACAGGCCATGAAGAGTCTGGTTGCTCCCTCCAAAGGCAGGCTGCCAGCTCACCTCGTTCTACTGACAGTGCTGAACATCAGAAGCTCCCAGAGCCTGGGCTAGATAAGGCTGTAGGGGTCCACTCACAGCCATAAGACTGAGCACCTCAGCAGCTGACTGAAAGGAAAACACTGAGGGAAGGGGGAGGACTCTGTACCAAACCACCTTCCTTGTGACAACAGGTCTGGGAACTTCCCAGATGGGCTTTCCCAAAGGTCACTTCCCTTCATTTCTAACTCACCCCCAGATAAAATGTGCAAAGGAGCACCAGCATACAAGCCATGACTTTTATTGCCACCCCAGCATACCAGAAGCTCCAGGTCTCCCCATGCAGACCAAAGGGGAGAGAGAGGCATCCCCACATTTTGAGAACATAGCAGCAGTTCATTTACAGTTCTTCAGACATTCCTGCCCCTAAAGAGGCTGTGCTGGGTCAATCCCAGCTCTCACCAAGCTACAAGAGGGCCTTGGGCAGCAGGGAAATACAAGTTGTCACAGGAAAGGCCTCAGCTCCTTGGCCTGAGCACCCTGGGAAGTGATGCCACAGGGCCAAATGATGGCCAAGAGAGCAGAATTCCATTGCAAGAAAAAGAAACTCCTCCTTCAGTGACAGTTGCTGGGATCTCCCGTTTCAGATCCAAGGGCAGGGACAATCTGAAGATGCCTCAGTTCCCTGAAATCCTTTGTGATATGGAGTCATCAGGCATCTCTCCCGCCCTCTCCAGCCCGGGCACCCCAGGAATAGCTCAGCACAGCTTAGTATGGCCGAAACTTGCGCTGGGCTCGCATCAGCGCGATCCTCTGCTTGTCCTCCTCAAATTTCTTCCTCAACTGGGCGATGTCTAAGAGACAGAAAGAGAACAGGTCACATGGGAACAGCAGATCTCCCTCCCCTGGGGAGCTTCACTTCCACATGCCAGGAAGGGCGTAATCCTCACACACACTTCCCAGAGCAGGTACTTTTGCGCCTGGGCTAAGTGCCAAGCTGGGGCTCTGGAGCTCCTCTCTGGCAGTGCTGCAGCTCCCTCTTGGGGAAGGAAATGACTAGTGTTCCCTTTGAATTGCTGCTTTTGTGCAGGCTGAAGAGACATCTATTGGAAAGCCAGGATCTGTGCACTCTCCCACAAAATACTGCAGCAGCCCTTTCTAGAAGAGATGGTGGCAAGAGGCCCCAAGAGCTGGCGAGGCTATCTGCACAACCACGCAGCACTGTTCACCTGCAGCTGGATACAGGTGGTGGACTCTCCACTGACAGACAAATGACCATGATGCAAGGGACAAGAGCCACAGGGAGGGGGCAGAGAAGGCTCGGACACTCACGTTCTCTCTTGGTCTCACGATGCTGCCAGGCATAGAAGTTGAGCAGCTCTTTGCGGGCCCTTTTCCGTTTCTCCTTCTCCAGCAGGCGCAGGTTGGCCGCCTCTGTCCGGGGCAGACCAGGCTTCCGGCCCCTCCGTGTTACCTTCACCCAGCCCTCCTCATCCGGAACACCCTCCTCCCTGGCTGCTTTGGCTTCTTCCTGTAAAGACAAGAGGGTGGGACAGCTTAGTGCAGATGCGCTGACAGCCAACCTGATGCACAGCTCCCCGACAAAGCTACAGCTCCTGCTTCTGCACAAGATTTGAATGCAGGCATGGAACTAAGAACAGGCATTCAACTATCAGTCAGAACACTGTACACAAGCCAGGACCCAGTTTATTTGTGGATATGTATTGTAAGGCCTGGATGGAAGGGTCAGGTGTTGTGGACCAAACTAGGAGCTAACTGCCCACCAGCAACTGGGAGTAAAACAACCCTGCCGACCAGCATGTTTCCCACCACCCTTTTCACTGAGACCAGGACATTGAGAGATCTTCTCTCTTCCTTTCCTCTCCCCAAATAAACTGCTTAGCTGGGTCCCCTCCCCAGCCTGGCCTCACCTCTTTTATCTTTTTGTCATAGTCTTGCATGTAGGCATCCACCTCAGCCTTCAGCTCCTCCTGATCCACAACTGAGGCTGCATAGCTGGCGATCCACTCTGAGGAAGAGGGCAGAAGTCAGCCATAGCCTCTGCTAGAATCAAGCCCTGGTTTGATGCCTTTGGGCAGCTCTAGAGAGAACTGCGGTGGGGAAGGAGATGCTCTTCCCATTCTGTTCAGCCTCCCCACACCACAGCTCAACCAACTTGTGGCCCAGGCCATAACCAGAAAGTGACAGGAAGAGCTTGCAACTTTCCTGAGCAGGAGCAGGCTAGCATTAAGTCCAAGAGGTGCAACACTGAGGGCTGCATTCCTGTCAAGGGGTGACACCTGAAGTGCTGTCACCCTGACACACATCAGGGTGTCAGCACTCAATAACAGGTGCCTGTTATTGAGTCGGATTCTGTTTTGAGTGTAAGACACTGAGAGTTTATCTGAATTTATGCAGTACTGAAAAGATGTTGGAAAAAACTGCCCTTCCGTTACACCAAGCAACTCCCTTCTCCCATATGGTCACAGGACCAGACTACAACATGACTACAAGATTGTGAATAATAAAAGCAGGGCAGTGAATTACTCGACACCTTCCAGCTCAGTACAAAATGGTGAGAATTAATCTGGGACACGCAGGGTAGGATTCAGCAAGGAATAAGCATAGTTCTTCCCCAGCACTAGCTAGCAGGAAGATAGCCAGGGCTGACTTACTCCTAACACCAGTTTTCACGGGGTGACTCTCTGTTGAGATCAGCAAGGGACCTTCCTGCGACAGAGCCTTGGCTGCCTGGACGCCAGCTGGTTTCTTGAAAACCACGTATGCCACTTGAAATCCCTGAAAGTAGAAGACATCTATGGCAGTCAAGATACACCACAGAAACTGGTGACGCTGAACAGAGCTGCACTACAAATATAATAAAAATCAAACTTCAAGTTGCAGCGGGACAGCAAAAAGAGATAATGCAAACTTTAAGTAATCACATCACCCAGTGCCCCCAAATGGTTTCCCATGTCTCACGTTTCAAGTAGTACCCTCCAGTGCTTGTGATCTTTCCCCATTCTAAGCATCAGGATTCCCCTTCCCCACCGGGCTTTACCGTTACAGCTTTGCAGTTGAAGAACTTGGAGTTCAGTTTCCCTTTTTTCTCCCCGGGCCCTGGTTTGTCACACATGTCCACAGACTGGACATGCCCGCAGCGGCTGAACAGCCTGGACAGAGAGCCCTTGATATGGAGAACGAGAGAAAAGAAGTGCTACAGAAAAGCAGAGGCAATTTCTCTCCCCACTGTCTCAGGGCTGCCCGGCATGGCCCAGCCCCTCAGCCCACCCCCCGACGCACGCCACGGCCCCGGGCTCATGAGGCTATGCCCGCAGCCTTCAGTCCCCCCCACCGGTAAGCCGCCCCTCGCCCCTCCCGGCGCCAGCCTCACTCACCGGTGTGCAGTACGGGGGCACGTTGAGGACGAAGAGGGTGCGGTGAGGGGGGTGCGCGGTGCCGGCGCCTTCCCGCAGCTGGTGCTCCTTTACCAACAAATAGTGAGGACAGCGCTGCCGCTCCCCGAACTTCACCGCCAGAGCTGCGAACGACGCACCGGTTAAAGACCCCGCTGCCGTCCGGGCCCCGCTCCCGCTCCCTCCCTGTTACCCCGGGCCCTCTCACCCGTGTAGCCTGCCGGCGCCTCTCCCACCACACGTTCCACGGCGGCCGCCATCTTAGCTCGGCGGGAAGCGGCGTGGCGCGGGGGCCGTCGGGAGTTGTAGTTCCCCGCGGCGGCGCGGGGCTGCTAATGGCTGCGGGGGGACCCTCAGCGCTGAGGGACCCGACCTCGGCGCCAAGGTGGAGTTTAACCAGCAAGTTTCCCCATCCAGAGCATCACCCGCTGTAAGAAAAGCTTGTTACACACCAGCATTTAGTGTAACGGTTCTGAAAACGAGGACCTGAACTGCATAAAACAGGCACTGTGCTTAATCATACAAAGGCAAATAAAGGAAACTTAAATATACATAAAACATTCAAAGATAATTGTAAAAACAACTGTTTTTAAAGACTTGTTAATCAGAAAAAAAAAAGATTAAAAGATTACATTTACAGAGAAACTTGTATTTATGACTGAATGGAAGACAAGACCACTCCAAAAATAATGAAACCGAAGGAAGACAATGGACAATAAAGCAAGCAATTGTACGGACAGTTGGCTCAACCAAATATCTAAGTTAATGAGTATTATCAGTAGAAACAGTACATGCAAAACCCATGAAAATATACCAAACTTGCAAATTGTGGCATCACTTCACAAGTCATCATGTCTTTCAAAAAGCAAAGGAAAAAAGAAATGCTATTGTCAATTACCTACCACATGTCCTGGCCAAGCATACCGAATTAGTGCCAGGAATCAGTGTTTCTTTCACCTCTGAGCTTGTAATCTCTAAGAGGCCAGAAAGGAAGTGAACAAAAGTATATCAAGGGGAGATTTAGAATAGACATTAAGACATCATTATTACCCTGATGGTGATAAGGCACTGGCAGAGGTTGCCCAGAGAAGCTGTGGCTGCCCCATCCCTGGCAGTGTTCAAGGCCAGGTTGGACGGGGCTTGGAGCAACCTGCTCTAGTGGAAGGTGTCCCTGCCCATGGCAGGCGGCTGGAACTGGATGAGCTTTAAGGTCCCTTCTAACCCATACTGTTGGGTTTGATTCTACAATAACTGTGCTGCATGAGGGCATATGTGCCCAGAGGCAAGGTCAGAAGGTGGTAGGTAACCTCAGTGGAATGCAGACAGCAAGGAGAAACTGCGGAGCTGCGAGGTCAGCTCCCTGAAGTAGGAATGGCTGGCTACTCTTCTTTCAATGCCTAGCAAAAGATGCCACACCATGAAGTATTAGAAAACTAAGATAACTTTAGAGAGTGGACTCAGAACAGAACAGCAATGCACACCAAGACATTGCTGCAAGACAAATGGTGGAGTACTGTTTAAACAATCACTTTGTTCACCAATTATAAAATAAAAACACTCCCATAAGTCACAGAGCTAGAGAATAGAGCAATTCTTCAAAAGGATTATGTTAATATCATGATTTCTGACAGATAATCTAACACAATGCACCATTTTAACAGCAAGCTAGAGATCTTGCTATTTGACTTTTGAAATTGATATGAATCTATTAATAAAGAAAAAAAAAAAGCTTGAATGCCTCTTTCAGAAGAGACAAGGTACAGAATCATAGAAAGGTTTGGATTGGAAGGGACCTCAAAGACCAGCTAGTTCCAACCCCTTGCCATGGGCAGGGACAACTTGCACTACACCAGGTTGCTTAAAGCCCCATCCAACCTGACCTTTTTCTTCTAATCAAGTGGCCCTTTGCACTGAGGAAGTCAGTTAATCCCTCCCTTGAGGTGAGGCCTGCAGTCACAATACATATCTCCACACCTTTTTATCCAGCCAATAAGGAAAGTACCCTATTGCATTTAGAACAGGTACCCTGCATTTGACAGCTGTATTATTTTTTACTAAAATAATTTTCTTAATTACTAGGCTGTCAATAACAAAGGCCATTTTCTTTTCTGTGATAATGGAATTTAAACTAGGTGGGGACACAAATTTCTCCCACTTAGTAGCAAGAATCAGGAACTAATTTCAATAATCCAAATTAAAAAGCATATAAGGATCAATTCTCTCATCCATATACTCCTCTTGCTCTTCATTACATTACCAGTTTTAAAGTTTCTATATTGATATATAAGCACACTTGACTGGAACTCCACCTATTTTCAGTTGCTTCGCAGCATCTAAAAAGGCTTAGAATCCACTCTCTGTATAACAAACGTTTATTCAGAAACAGGTAATACATTATTTTCTCCAACCCCTAATGTTTCCTCCCCCTCCCCCATTTGATTTTCATTTTCTTAATTAAAACACAAGTGTTTGATGGGCAATCTAAAAAAGGAGAACCATGGCTGTCTGAGGTACCCTCCCCTACAAACATCTGTTGTTCACATGAAGCACCATAGCAATAATGGTGTTGGTGGCTTCCAAACCAAAGAGAGTACTCTTTGGAAAAAAAAAAGACAAGTCCTGCCAAGTCCTCAGTTATTTCAATGGCTAAAAGTGATACAGTGAGATAAAGGAATGATTTGCATGAGCTAGATAAGTGCAAAGAGTTAATACAGAACGAGAAAGCAAAAGAAACATAGGATTGATTGCAAGAAATGAAATCCGGACCTACAATGGTTACAGAGGTCACTGAAGCTCAGCAGAGCTGAAGAGAATGGATTGACCTCCCAGCTAGAAGGATCAAGTTCAAACCCCAACTGCGTCCTGGAAGTGGCTCTCAGCTTTCCTCTCTTACAATACAATTTGAACAAATACAAACGAATGGAGCTACTGGGACTTCAAACATCCACGGCAATTACGCTGTAATAACAAAAGGAAGTGTTGGAAGTGCCACCTAGTGGCCTGCGGCTCCCCACAGATGCTCACTGGCCCAGGGTACACCCTCGCTGCTCTGCATGGGATTTGCTTAAGGCTCTTCTCCCTTGTGTTCCTTAGACTGCTACCTGCTTTTCTCTTCAAAAATGCTCTCTGAAGTCATGAAGTGCTGCAAGCATCCTCCAAATTCAGGCATGTGAGCCCACACAGCTGCCAAACATTGCTCAAATGACATCTCCCAAAGTGAGTTCTCAGGTGCAGGAAAAGACTGCTTCCTATGTTTTAGCATCTGAAAATGGCCCCAGCTCCTCCTTTTTTATAGGAGATTGGGTAAGTTAGAAAGCAAGGGAAGGGGGAAAAAAAATAAAATCAAATCACAACCCTGCATCAGCAGGAGGATGTAATACAGTCTAATGGGAATGAAACACTTGGACTTCTAGCTCTGAACACAGGATTGATTCTTATTTTTCAGTCCAGAAAAGAGCAACTGACCCTGACCCTACAGGACTAATATGTTCATTGTACAAACGCCAGCCTTTCCCCACTCCCCACCTTGCTGTAGATGTAAACCCCCCTTCCAGTAGGGGCAACAGGTATAGGACTTGTGCATGTCTCTGCCTTATGCCTCTGTTGGCTGCTATACACAGTAGGAGGCTGAGTTTTTCACACTTCGCAGTTACAGCTGCTGATCAGAAAAATGACCAACAGCCAGAATCAAGTAGTATGCCACCAAAAGCATGTCAAAGATGCAAAACAGTGCTTCCTGTACAGAGCCATATCTGACTTTGTACCCAGTGCAGCCATTTCAGACATAATGTGGTACTCTTGCTTGCTGATAACCAAGGGGATACACCTTCTAGTTAAAGGTCAGTCAGAAGAAAAGAGAAGGAGATCACCACTCCTTCCCTCAAAGTCTATGTGCACTTTTAATGGCCACTAGGGGCTTTGGAGTAAAGGATGGAGTTACATGGTATATGCTTGGTAATTCAGTATTGGCAGAAAGGGGAGGTTATTTTTTGGGGAAAAAAAAATAAAATCATGGAAGAAAACTCCAACTATGAAAACAGAAAGCACACACACAAGAGGGAACACTATTGTACAGTAAGGTAGTGATCATAGAAAACAAAAAATGTCAAGGCAGGCAAATGCAAGTAACATCTGCACTCCTGCACTTTTCTTTCCCCAACATAATGGGTTTCCAGTCCACTTCTTGCTCCCCCTTCTCAGAGTTTGATTTTGAATTCTGTGGGCTGCACAGAGGCAGAGACCCCTGAAGATTTGAAGAGTGCCTTCAAGATCGTGTCAGGGTCCACTTCAGCTGGGGGATTTGAGGAGGCGCTTGCACTTGACCGGCGTGGTTCCCCTTCCTTCTTTACTGAAGGGGTATCGCTCAATCGGCTGGAGGATAAAAATAAAAAATAATAATAATTAAAAAAAACCCCAAACAATATCCAGTATCAGAGACAAAGGTTTTAAAGGGCTGGGAACACTACAGAGTCAAGCTGTATTTCCCTCAGCTCTAACACAGAGTGGCACAGAGAGGAGAAGGAAAATATTAATGAGACAATAACTTGCCAACAGTTTTCCTCCCCTCAGGTTCCTCTTAAAACAGAGCCTGCAAATGCGTTTGGTTCTTCCCCCACCCAGCGGACACTTACAGCAGTATAGGCTGGTCTGAGGTGATCACATTCCCATTCATATGAAGATTGCATTTCATTGGTTGACCTAAAGAAAAATATAATCAAAAAAGTAATCAGAATTGTGGTAGGGCAATATCACACAATATCACAATCAGAAATACCACACAACAGGGAAAGCAAGAGTTTCACATGCTGGGAAAATGTCAGAAAGAAAAGCTAATACATCTTTTATTGCAAAATCACAGCAACAGAAAAGCCACCGAAATACTCAGGACAATGTGAACAATCACACTAATTAAGAAGTCATGTATTAGGTACAAACCCTTTAGTACAAGGGTTTTGTACCTAGTATGTGGGAGACATAAGAGGATTTCCCATTCTCAGCTGCCTAGTCCTCATCTGATGATCGCAACATATCACTCGTCTAGAGAAAGAAGCAGCACCTATTTCCAGCTAAAAATTAAAAGCTAATTTCAGTCTATATTTAGATTGGAGGTGAATCCAGATTAAAAATCCCATTGTTCAAAGTTTATGGAGAAGCCAGTACTAATTGTTTTACAAGTCAAATTCAATATGGCTCTGGTGACACCTTGAGACTTCTGAAAATACTAGTTTTACTTGTACTTTGCAAACAGCTATCTGTAAGCAGGTAAAGCCTTTGTAAGGACTATCTAACTCTAGCAAATGAATTAGAAGCAAAAGAAATTTCATTTGGAAATTAGACTAATGAACTCCAGGAACCTGCCTCTACCTTTGAGCATTCTCTTTCTAGGAAAATCTTTTTGTTTTACTTAAACTGTGTATATATTTAGCTGGTTGCACAAGTGTATTACATTACTTAGCTCAAACTGATTTACTGGCATTTCCTCTCTCTTGATAGCATCCGAGATGCTTTTAAACTCTCCACTGAGGTGGCAAAAGTTGTTGATTTATCTATCTTAAATGCAACTCTGGCCTTGAACTTACCGTCTAAGCACCTGTTGTTGTATTTCTTATATGCTGTGATAGCATCTTCTTTCTTCACAAATACTACCTCAGCCACTCCAGGGTGCACCAGACGGGCTCGTTTCAGGGCACCACACACACAGAATAACTCCTGAGGGCAGAGAGTTAGTCATGACCACAGGTCACACCAAAGGCACCACTCTGACCAAAGACACTGAGTAAGAAAGGCTTAGTTTCCTAACTGCACCACCCATCATGCTGAGTAAACACATAGCAGAATCTTGATGCTTGTCTGTGTTTGCTATAGTATGAGTACTTTGAATTAGTAATACAGGTTGCACAAGCAGAAAAGTTCAAGGCCAGTACTCTATACTGTTTATCACACATGAAGATCAGGCTTATTCTCAGCCTGCTGAGAATGGAAGTGCCTAGATAATTTGGATGAGGGCAAGGAGAACACCAAGCATCATTTGGGGGAATTCTAGTGATATCAGAATTTTGTCCCATCTTAAGCACTGACTTAAGAACAAAACCCAAACTGATCAGGAACCTTCAAAGGTTTTGCAAGGAAAGCAAACCCACGTAATACTCCTCTTCACTACATTCACCACAGACCAACCAACTTATCAAAAGAAGTAGGATAAGGGAAGAAGCGTCACTCATCCACAGTTTGGCAGTAAGCAACACTCACAACAATGTCTTCCTCTGTGACTCGAGGATGCAGATTGTTAACTGTCATCTTGGTACCTTCCAAAGGACTGAACGCCAGCTGTCAACACAAACAAATGCATCCCATAAAGAGGGCAGCAGGCAGGACAGCAGAGAAAGCATTACCAAAAAAGTCACTAAAGGGATGTCTGCGAAAGTCTGTACACACCCAAAGGGGAGAGGTACAGCTAGTAATGGGAAGTACCAATGGTCACAAAAGCCCAGCTCATCTGATGGCGATAAAGAAGCCCCTTTTCCATGTTAATTTCTCTCTGAAGTAACTTTTCTCTTTCATTCCCAAGTATAACACTTAACTTAATCCACATACATATGCCCACACTTTTAAGCCCATGTCTGCTTCACTCTGCATCAGCCAGCAATCCCCCAAACATGGTATGCTGAACTCAACATGCCTGGGAACACCTGGTGGGTTACCTGTACCCAACATCTGGCAGTTTTGCAAAGCAGTTCCAGCCAGATTGTTTACAAATTGCCTGAGAAGTCTCATGAGTACAGAAAGAAGCTGTATTTGAAAGAATTCTGTTTCTTCTTGCTAACAGGAGTGGACAGAAGACAATATACCTACTAGTGTTCCAACACTACTCCTAGGGACATGGAAGCCACCAAGGAGTGTCCAAACAACTGGCCCCTCCCTGTAACATGGATTCCTCCAGGACCATGAGCTCTCTCATGCTAGAGAGAAAAGTTGAGAGAAGCAAGATGTGCTATCTGAGAATTCCCAGTTTCCCAATAAACTTTGATGAAAAGAATATTTAGATAAATTTCAAATTCCTGGGACATGGGTTGTAGTTATCAAAATAAGCTTGATGGAGTCCCAGAATTACTAGTGGAAGGCAGGCAGAAATAAGCTACTCATATGACAAACAAACAGCAAGTTTCGTATCATAGAATCATAGATCCAGATGTTTCACAGACTTCTATAAAGAGCATCTCACACTTCTCTAAGCTCACCTCAATGGGTGCTGGTTCTTTTGGAGGCTCTTCTTTTGTCACCAAGGTCCGGGACATGTTTGCCAATGCCTTTGTTCGCATAGGAGAGGGAGGTGCAGGCAGAGCTGTATATGTATCATTCTGGACCACTTTAGTCAGGGGAACAGTCTTGGACAGAGAGAATTTATTGCCACTCAGCCCAGTCTGAGGAAGAAGGAAAGTATCTCTGAGAGCTGCAGGCTACAAAAGTCATCCCTCTCTTTGAGGCACCAACAGCAGGAGAATATTATTAGCATGCACTAAGAACTGCAAGTCCTTTCCAGTGTCAAAACCACTACAGTGCTTGAGAGTTTCAGCTTTGAAACAGAAATCAACTCAAGTTTCTGGACATGAGCATATAAAAGTATGTTTATTCCTGAAAACCACTTCCCTCACTTAACAAGCACTTTTTACTTTCATATTCTTTTTAAATGAACTTTACCAGTGTGATCTGAATTTGAAAAGCTCCTTTTATGCAGAGATTTTCAACTACTTTACAAAGTGTTCACAAAAACTGCTCATTAACAATAAGACTGAGCTGTACAAAGACCTAGTACAAAGAGCAATATTTCAGAAGCATGGAGTGTAACCTTTCTAGTTGAAACTACCAGAGTTTAAAAAGCCAGACTAAAAATCATGTTTGGTAGCTGCTATGAACACTGGAGAGAACACATTTACTCCTGCAAAACCTAAAAAAGCAGACAACCCATAAGGCTGTTTTTTAAGGCTCTCAAATGCCAGGAGGTGTATTCTGAGTACCCACATGAGAAAAAAGAAAATGGCATAATCACTTCACTAGACTGCCTGTGTGATGGTAAAGCCACATGAATTCACTTTTTTCAGAACCACAGAATAATTTAGGGTAAATGTATGTCCAATCCTCATGTCTGAAGCAGGGCTAACTTCAAAGACATATCAGGTTAGCTCAGTACACCCTACTTTGTCCAGTTAAACACTGAATATCTGGGAATGGCAATTTCACAATCTCTTTGGGTCCTTGTGCCAGATGCTGATCAATATTCTGAGAATTGCACGACTTTCTGTGCCCCCTCTCCACCTTATTTTTCCTGCTGCAACACATTTGTTGCTTTGTCTTCTCCCTGTTCACTCCCAAAAAGGACCTGGCTTTTGTCTTTTCTATGACCTAACAGGCAGTGAGAGTGGAGAGATCTCAGTACAGCCTTCTCAGTCTAAAGAGACACTGCTCTCACCCTCTCACACATGTGCTGCAGCCCTCTGATGATTCCGTTATACTGTTTTCAGTTTGCCCGTGTCTGTTTTGTATCACAGAGCCCCAAAATAGGCACAGAACTCCAGGTGCATTCCCAAAACACCAAACAGATGGGAATAATTATCTTCCTTGACTTGCTGGCTATGATCATACTAACACACAATCTACAGCTGGCCTTTGATGCTGGAAGGATACACTGCTAACTCATTCCTCGTATACCACTCAGCAGGACCCCCAGGCTCTTTCCTACAAAAGCTGCTTTCTAACCAGTCAGTTCTCAGCTTAAGCTGCAGAGGGCTATGCCATCTCAAGAGCAGGACGTCGCATTTGTCCGTGTTGAAACTCCACCTTCTCCAGAGCATTGGCACTCCCCAGCAAACTGCCAACTAAGATTTTGCATGGCAATAGATTTCCTGCCTTGATGTCCAGTCTCTAGAAGCAGCAGAAAGCTTTCCTTTCTTGCCTGCTTAAACAATAACAAGATAGGCTCAAAACCCTTCTCCAATAGGAAGAAAGTCAAGAACTAACATGCAGCAACCTGCCAGCAAGTAAGAAAGCACATTCTGGCTGCAAAAGGCCTATAAAATCAGTTAGCCTAAAAGGAATTGGTCCTAAAAAAATAACACTTAGAATCATTGGCACAAAGAGAAGGGTGGGGCAAAGAGCAAATAGTTCAGGAGAAAGCATCGTTTACATACTTTAAAAGAACATAAGCCCTGTAAAGCTACAGCATGTGTGTTCACCCAATGTGAGCATGGCATGGTGGGGACTGTTCAGATAATCTCTTACCGTGTTGTGCAGGAAACTGTTTGTTGTGGTGATTTTCATCTGTTTGCTAGCAAGGGGAGAGACAGTTTCATCATCTTCTTCCATGTCATAGAGACCCTGAAAAGAAGCAAGTTAATATTTTATGAGCAGGTAGATTTATAAGCAGTTTGCTCCTGTCTTCAGCCTTCGTCAGGTAATGAACATGACTACACTGGACTTTAGTTCTGCCCTTGCAGGCCAGAGGCACAAAAGCTGAAGGTATTCAAGCCCATTTCAAAACATCAGTGTAAAAACTACCCAACTTCTTTTCCAAAAATGCTGTAATAAAGCTGTACTGAAACATGTATGTTTTTTTCCAAATCTCTAGAACTCATCAGGACTGCTGAAGACACATTCATGGAATAAAACCTCAGTGTCTCACTTTCTAGCACTCTGCTACCTTTAAAGCTGAGGCCTGTGCATCTGATTGGGGTTTTGTTTGTTTGTTTTTAAATTAAGCAGATGACTCCCAAATACATCCGAACCAAATGTTCCTTTTGAGTAGTCTGCTTTCCACAACACAGCACATATGTGTTTGGCACTAGAAAACACCACACTAGGAGCTTTACTGAATGAATAATGAATTTCCCAGTTCAACTTAATGCTCATAGCCCTGCCTTATAATCTTGACATAAGCTCCTACACAAATAATTTTTTCATGGACTTTAAGTAATGCTAAGAAAAAAATTACAAACATGTGGCACTGCCCAGAAAAGAAGAAGTCACAATTCAAAACAGCTTCCCATTAATTCAGTAGAAAGGTAAATAAAAATGAAGAGATTAGCAATGCAAGCTTGCAAAATACGTGGGTTTTCATAGTCAGCAAGGTTCTGGTTTACAATCGGGAAAGTTGTTCCAGTCACAGAAATGCTATGAAGGAAAAAACCCCAAAAGTGATGGCAGAACAGAGGAGAACTGCACAGAAAACCCCTGAAAAATACTAGCTGTCACGACAATGGACTTGAGTTTGAAATGGATGAAATGGATTCAAAGCTTATAGTGATGAGGTCAAAATAATGAAGGCACTTCCTTAAGTGACAGCACCTGGGACAGGTGAGGGAAGCAGGTCAGAAGTAACATACACATAAATGAGGCAAAAAAAACCCAGCCCAGGACACAATGTTGGAATACTGACATTCACAGTATTTCATGTAATACTTCATGTATGCACACACACAAAACAAGTAATAAAACTGAATATTTCCTCCCTGAAAGCACCCAAGGTGGTCAGGTGTTTGAATGGCCTGCGGCTGTGACAAAGATCTTTACAATAGATCACAGAAGAGACAACACAAATTCTAGGGTCTTCCTCAGAGTCTGCTTGGCGAGGGATATGGCAACTTTGAAATCTCATCAGAGTACCAGTTAACATCACTCACTGTCAGGTTCCCAGCAGGGACCCACAGTGGGGATTGCAGAAAGGTTATACCCTCTCCCACCTCACTGTAGAACACTTGACCATGTACAATCATATCCATTCTCTGAAGAGACTGGCAGGATGCTGAACCAAAACAACCAACAGCTGGATCTGAAGTAGTGTCACTGAGAAATTTACAGAAAGACATCAGAGCTAAAGGTCACACTCTCTAGAGAAAACATTAGCACACAGAGATAAAAACTGGGAATACCTACTTCATATAACATATAAGGATTCAAGATTAATTAGACTAAATGAAAAATTCAATTACCACAGCAGTGTCTTAAGCACGCAAGAATAGGGAGCTAAGCTGTTAGAGATCTTCCACTTTTCTATTTAAAGTTTTCTTTGCATGTTCCAATGTTCATGAACACCCTCCTCCCCCCTTCAAAAGGTAACAAAGAGCACTGAGCAAGGGCACACACCTGTTTGTGTGTATGGTTGTTCACCACATTGATCCTCATTCCTGCTGGATGAGAGTGTACAGGAACTGGAGCCTTCTGCTACAGTTAGAGAGAAAGAACCAAAGCATTAAACATTAGAGTCCACCAGATCCTCCTTTCAGATGAAAGCTGTTAGCTGATACCCTGAGACCACTTAAATGAAACTCGCTCTCCTGCTCTTGAAACATATTACCACAAAATGCTATAGATAATGTCTGTTTGCTGTAATGTGTTAGATATGAGATAGCTTTGCTTGACTGAAGAAATTAAGACCTAAGGCCACATAGGGAAACTGATTCAAATTACTTGAGTTTTAGTCCAAGATTAGTGGGAAAGGGACAGTACCCTGCCAGCACTGACTAGATTTACATTTCTGCCAACATGAAAACAGGAATGGGGAAAATCTTTCATGCTAGAAGGAACCAGATACCTATTTCCATCAAACTCAACAAGTTGGGACACAACACAGTTTAGTTCAGCTCTATTTCAAGGGAGTAGTATATACTGCTTTTTCACACTAGAGCTGGAATAAGCTCTATTGCTTGTAGTGGAATAAAATGATGCACAGGGTAGTGTAGCTGACATTTATGTGGCCTGTTCTCCCAAGAAACAGGGAAACCACAAAAGAAGTAGTCAGGGAATGCAGCTGTACTATTCACCAACTGTAATTAAGCAACATCTCTCCCCAGAAAAGCCCTTTTAGTTTTTGAAACAGCTGGAAGCTTTCCATTACAGAAAATAATGGTTCTTCTTCCAAAAACACTCCATACAGGCAGTAAAATCTTCAGATCTGCATTTTCTTTAGACTGTAACTTATACCACAGCAGCCTCATGTTTCAATTTGCTAATCAATTCAGAAACAAGGGTACCTGTCCTATAAAAACACAAGCAGAGTTATGGAAATTCTTTAGCTTTCTAAGGCTTTTTTCCTTCCTTTACAAGAAACGAGACCACAATACCATCAGAGCTGTGTGCTGCGTGTCAGATGAAAATACTTTAGTTTGATTCTGCTCCAACATTCAGGAAGAGAGAAGGGCCATGAGAAATTCGGAATTTTAGTATAGATCCTAAAACCAAAAATAGTTAATTTCTCACATGCATGGTTTTGTCCACAGTCTTAATCACTGTTGTACTCTACAATATTTTTTCTTGCATGACGTTATCTAACAAACAGAAAGTACCACAGGTCAAATCAAATAATATATATAAAAAAACAAACAAAAAACCCAAGCAGGTTAGAGGAAACTGCTACTGTACCAAGTCTCTGGAAACTATTATAACTCCCAGAAACTTCATAGAAAATGTTCAACTCCTAATGGCTGATGGTGGTGATTTGGCTTAGAAGCACATTAATTACCTTCCTAATTAAATTACTACTGAACAGACTGCTCTATTGCTCTATGATTAGCCCTTCTTATTGCTACAAGAGTCCTTTCTCTTTCTTAGGTCATCCTGGCAGTAAATTTAGCCTGAAATTCCACCTACAAATTTCCTAGGCTAATTTACAGAAGAAACGTGTTTAATACTCTTGAGCAAAACTCACAGCTGAACAGAAGGTGGACTCATCTAGGATTCAAATCAATGAGAACAGATTTTCTAGGTATGTGGAAGCCAAGGGGGAGGAGGAACATGAAATAGGTAGGCTAGGAACTTCAGTTACATGCTTGTAGAGGTGAGGAACAAAACCACTCCTCAAACCACAATCCTGACAGTCTGGAAACTTCTCTTTTGACTCTACCCACAGTACCTAATACACACACAGCTCAACAGCAGTTGTTTCTCAGAGACATTTGCCAAGAATCCTGCACACACAGCAAACTGAAATTAGAAAACTGTCGAAGGAAATCAGCAGGTTAGGGTGAGCAAGTGATTATATTGCGATTGAAATAAAACTGGAGCCTCAGCAGGAGCGCATCATGTAATCAGGCAACTCTCTGGAAGCAAGTGCCTTCCTGAAAACCAGACAAGTAGAAACATGAGATATTGTGGAAGGACCCACTGAATTTTACATCTTCTTAGACACAAACATAGCTCTGTATTCTAAATTGTTACCCCACCGCTAGGATAAGCCAGTTATCTGGACAGGACAATCTACCACATCAAACTCGCAAAAAGGGGTGGTGTACGAATGACAAAAAATGCATGCATTCACTTTGATTTTAGGTAGGAAAGAGACTACATAACCATTCAGGACAGCTACTTTAATGCTTTGGTGTTCAGGAGTGTTGCTTTAATCTTTACTGGGCCCCAAATTCACATTAAATCTTAAATGACAGCGGGGGTCCTACGAAAAACTTCAAACAACTGCAAGAACACCCAGAAAGCTCTGAATACTGCCCTACAGGCTGGACTGAACTGTATCACCATCGCTTCTACTGTTAACATGTGAACACATTCATGCATTATCATTTCTACTGGACGGCTGTAGAATAACCGAGGGGCTCAGAGGTGATGTGCTTGACCTACTTGGATAGTTTTGGTGATTTTCACGGCTGGATTCGCTGTTCCCATAGTTGGGCTGATAGCAGCTGGAGTGCTCCGTTTTAAGGTGATCTTCTCTCTGGCATCCACCACTTTGGTCACCTTTTCAGTAGCAACATTTTGCTGTTTTCGGGAATTCAACATTTCTCGAGCATCCTGCACCTTCCCTTTGATTTTAAACCGAGCATCCTTTTGAACCAGTTTTTCACGGGCATCTTTAACCCCCAGTTTGTGTCGAGCATCTGTGAGACCTATCTTCTGTCGGGCATCAAATGTCCGCTGGAAGCCGACAGCTGGGGATGGTCTGTTTAAAAGATTTTGTTGGATCCCAATGCGAGATCTTACACCTCCATACACTGGCCTTGTGTTAAGCCTGAAGAGGGAAAGAGTTTCAGACATTGTAAGATGTGATACAGTATCAATAAAAGTATTTGTGTTACTGCAAACAAAAGCTCACGATTACTGCACAGAAATCCACTCAGGTTAGATGTCCAAATACAACAGCAGAGCTCCTAAGCTGGTTTATGCTGGATTTTACATTCTACATAAACAGCTAAGGAACCGATTTTCAAAATCCATCCTTAAGCTCACATTTACAATCTTCAGTAAAGGGTCTGACTTCAGCTGTGCTAACTACATACTATATTTAAACAAAATTCATCAACAGCTTAGGTACTTTAGGAAAACCTTTGAAGACAAAGGAGAACAGAAACACATTTTCTAGCTTCAGGACTGAGCAGGTCTAATAAAGCATTTTTGTAATACATTACTACATCCTGATACAAAGAAAACATGGAACTACATGTGATTTCAAGAATTCTGGGCAGCAAATTCAGGTATGTGGGAGCACAGAAGCTTGGATTTTAAGATGTATAAGCACCAGTACCAATCTCAGTTCAAAGCCACCAGTTTCAAAGTTGATTAACTACCAGCAAAAATATTTATCAGTCAAATCACTTTTAAACATCAGTGCCTTTTCTTTAACCTACTAACAGAACTACCACACTCAATGGACTTTACTTTTAAGTACATCATCATCACAATGCGGAGGACAGAAAGGTAATAGGCCACAGAAAGGACAGCAGCTGTACACAAGTATTGATAAGCAGCAGCCCATTATGTAGTGAAAGCTGAAACTAGCTTCTTGTTACGGGTTTGATTTGCTTTTTCAAAATCTCCCCTTAAAAGGAAACAGCTTGCCTAATGTTTTAACACAGCTCCTCCTTTAAGTATTCTTTAATGTTATCTTTTTCCCTTTGGGTTTCTTTATGAGAAAAGAGGGTGAAAAAAATTACAAAGTAGTAAGAGAAATTTTAAAGATAAGGTACTGAAAGAATATTCTTGCTGTTTTTTTTTTTTAATTCAGATGAGCTACAGAGGGCTACAATGTTCATCAGCTTTCTCAAACATATTATCCAGTATCATGAAGTCTAAAAGTAGGTATCTAGAATTTACTGAAACACTCAAAATGCTAACACCAGAAATTCAAATGATGCAACCTGAATTCATTATACACCTTTGTATCAGTATTTCCAGATCTAACCCCACAACCTTAACATTATGTACGGATATGTATTTTCAGTGGAGGGATCTGTAAAAAAACCCGAACAAACAAGATGAAAGACTAAACCTTCCCGTCCATCTCTTTCATTCTTGTGTCCAGAGAACTAGAGAGCTAGGACTGGAATCCCATTTTGTTACGTAGCTAAGAATCCTATGGCTGCACCCCCATGCGGCCAAAGCAAACTAGCTAGAAGAAACAGGAGTATTACTAAGACCATTTATTAAAATATATCCAGAATAATATAGAAGACTAACAATACCTATAAAGTAACAGTCACAGAGAACAAGACTTCCCTTGCAATTCTAGCTATGCATTCAGAGTGGTGCAGAAGGACTGGATGATTGGGTCTTTTTAATAAGCCTAAAGGAGGCCAAAGTAAACCAGAAATATATATATATCAGCAGTTAAACCAGAATTAATTGAAACCATTACAGACACAAACTAATAAATTTGGTTAGGAAACTAATACTGCCTTTGATGACTAGTGCTCATCCTCATAAACAGGCCTCTTCTGTAGAGAATTGCTTACCCTATAGCAGCATTAACTGCTTAGGCATTTTGTGCCACAGCACCTGAAATAAAAGGAAATCTCAAATATTTAATTTTCCAGAACTCCACTCTCTGTCTTGAATATTTTGTGAATTAGTACATTTTACAGGCAAAGATTCTTCTGCTGTTTCATCCAGACTACTGAGCAGCATAGATATGGTGATTTTAGTTTATTCAGTTTATCCAACCTTCACAAAGTCAAGTTAGCTACCTCAGAAATGCTTTGCTTTAAAGTGATGTGGTTTTAAACCCAGCTGTTAACTCAGCACCACAGAGACACTCACTCACCTCTTCCTTCCCTGCCCTCCAGGTGGGATGGGGAAAAGAACTGAATGAGTTCAGCTGAAGTAAGAACAGTCCAATAACTAACGTATAATATAAAACTACTACTACTAATAATAATAATGATAACGGGAATAACAGGAGAGAATATAAAAAGTGAAAGGGGAAAAATTGAGTACAAGTGCTGCACAATACAATTCCTTACCACCCACTGACCAACACCCAGTCTGATCTGACCAGTGATTTGGGCTTTTCAGGTCACTCCCCCCGTTTCTGTACTGGGCATGACATGCTGCGATATGGAATACCCCCTCTGGCTAGTTTGGGTGAGGTGTCCTATCTCTGCTCCTTCCCAGCTTCTTGTGCCCCTTTTCAATAGCAGAGCATGGGAAACTGCAAAGTCCTTGATCAGGGTAAGTGCTACTGGGCAACTGTAAAACATTTAACATAAAACAGTAAAATACTGGTGTGTTATCAGCATTGTTCTCAGACTGAAGCCAAAGCAGCACTGGACCAGCTACTAGGAAGGAGAAAAAGAACAGTTACGGCTGAACCTAAGACAAGTGAACTGAATATGACAAACACAGCACAAAAAGTATTACAGTGCTGCAGAGGGACTATTGTTCAGCAAATAAAAGCAGGAAGAATTCCTGGAAGAAATAAGAGTTAAGGAGGGATTTGAGAAAGGATCTAGTGGGTGCCTGGCATATTAAGCCACATAAGACTGTTCCAAATATGCAGGATAACATGAATGGAAGTGCAAAGCCAAGGCCTTGTGTAGACTAGGATTTAAAAGTGAACATTTTGCTAGCGTATGTCAGCAGATAACTTTTAAAATACTAGATATGTTAAGTGGAGACATTCAGAGTTAAAAATCTAGTATTTCCCAATGACCCCTAAATAAAACAAATTTTAACACCCCACTCCTCCAACAACAAACTAAGAAAAAAAGGAGCATGCTATGCTAACACAGACAGGTAGAAATCCATGGACAAGATCTTCAGAAGCATCAAGAGACTACAGCAAAATGGAAGATGAAAAGCTATTAAAGGAGAAGCCAGGTAAGAACTGCCACCAGCTGCACTAGACTAAATGGCCCAGCCTACACCAGAGACATCTGCTGTACAAGGAAAGAATGTAATCTTGTAGCTAACATGTAACACACTCGACATCCACCCAAGCATTTGAAACAATCTGTCAGAGCACCATTAACTCTGCTACAGTTTCCAAGGGCCAGGCAGCAATCCTCACGGAGCCACTGCAGCCTGAAGCCTCGCCTCTGACGATCTGGATCAGCTTTGCTACAGTTACGGCTCCCCGTGGCACAACTCCACCTCCCACGGCCATCCCACAATGCACCGTGCCGCTGCTCAACGAGCCGCGCAGGGAGCTGTGGGGGGATCGGGCACCCCCAGGGCACTGCATGGCAGAGAGCTCCCGCTGCAGATACAGGGCGGCTCGACGCCGAGAGGGATGGGGGGCTGCTGATACCGTCTTGGGGGACACCACTGGGTTAATCAGCGGGGAGAAGCAGGAGGCAGTGGGGAAGGCGCAGGTCTGAGGTACCAGTGAAGCAATGGCCTGTGCCAGAAATCTAAAGCGCAACGAGAAGAAGCCGAGAACGGAGCGGAGAGGCAGCGGCTGGGCCGGGCCTGCCCTGCCGGGGCCGAAGCCCACGGGGCAGAGCCAAGCACAGGGGGTAAGGTGTAGGCACAGACCCCAGCCCCAGTCCACTCCAGCCCCAGCCCTGAGCGACGGCCGCCACCGCCAATCTGCACCGGAGGCACGGTCCCGCAGAACAACGCCTAAGCCAATGGGAAGGGGAGAGCGAGGTATATGGCTGGGCCGCGCTGAGGCAGGCTGCGACCCATAGCCTCTAGAACGAAATGACAGAAGGAAGAGCAAAAGAACCACCGGCGGCCTCCGGTCCCGGGTCGCTGCCTTCCCGGCCGCTTACCTCCCTTTCATGGTTACACCGCGCTTCCGTATCAGCTCGTCCAGAGACAAGTCAGCCATCTTGTCGCGGGACCCAACGATAAGACGCAGCGAGCCAGACCCGGACGTGACATCACACCGCTTCCACTCCTCGCCCCGCCTCCAGAAGTAACGCAGACCTCGCCCAAGCGGGGCGTGTGTCCCAGAACCCCCCGCGGCGCCCAGGACCTTCATTTGCATACGTTACGGTGTGTCCTGACCCGGTTCTGACCGCGGCAGCGGGTATGAGACTTAAAAGGGAAACGGAACCGGGAAGAATAGTCAAGATAACAGAAACTCAGTATATATACGGTAGAATGTTGTGCAGACTTCCTCGCCCTGACCACGAGAGATAACACGTAGGGTTCTGCTGTCGGGGCGGGGGAACCGTCTTTATGCCTTAAACTTATGAGTAAGGAAAATAACGACTCGGGGTGACGCCCGGGTCCTCACTGCGAATGTGAGAGGAATTTTTGCGCGGGTACAGGTCGCCCCTGGGTGCCCCGCTTACTTCGCGGGATGCCCGGGTGCCGTGATCTGCCCGTCCCTTTTGCAAGCCGCGTTACAATGACAGACGCGCGGCTGCTGCCGCCTGACCCGCCCTTGCTCCTCCGGGTCCCGTCTCTGCAGGGCGGCTGAGGGTGGGGTGTGTGCTGCAACGCCCTCCTACTGCTGCACGTGTCCGCGGGAGGCCATGCGTTTCGTACGGGCCGTAGGTGGGAGCGCTGGCGCTGGATGACAGCAGGCTGATCAAAAACAAACTTCAGCGGGAAGGAGGAGCCGCCTTCTCGCGCAGGCGTGGCTGGGGCCGAGCTTTTCCACTCCCGTCCAGCATTACTTTCCCCCTCTCCTGTCCTGACTGCCCGGGTCCGGCGTCTGCGCCTGTAGGGTGGTGGCTCTGGGGTTCATCCAGGCTCTCAGTGCTTTTGGGCCTCTCTCTGAGCGCCCTTTGCAGCACGGTGTACCCCAGGGACCTGCCGCGCCGGCTTTCTTGCCGTCGTTAGAAAACGTCAGATGAGATACTAAGTTCTTCCCTGTGAGGGTGCTGAGGGCCTAGCACAGGTTGCCCAGAGATGCCCCATCCCTAGCAATGCTCAAGGCCAGATTGGATGGGGCTTGGAGCAACCTGCTCTAGCGGAAGGTGTCCCTGCCTGTGGCAGGGGGTTGGAAGTGGATGAGCTTTAAGGTCCCTTCCAACCCAAACCAGTCTGGGATTCTGTGACGATTGGAAGTCACATTGCCAAAGTTTTGCTTCTGCCCACTGTGATAAACACACAAATGTACTGGCTTTCGAAAATCATAGGTGTTGCTATGTGGATATAACTGTATGAGTTCGCAAAGCTCGCTAAAGACACAGGATTAGACAATAAGTTGAAAATGGCCAGAACTCTTGAGCAAAGTGGAGTCACAGCAAAAAAATTGTAAAGGTAAAAGAAATGGGGGGTGGGGAGGGGCTTGATATAACAAAAGCCAGTGCCTGGAAAGCACAGGGTTAAAGTACTTTTAGCCTAACTTAGGTCAAAGATAAAGAATAATGTTTGTGTTGTAAGTCTTTGGAATTTAGTGGCCCCACTAAACATGAATAAATTGCTTCACACCATCCTTCTACTTATCAGTCAGTTTAGAGACAGTGCCTCCCAAACATCTACTAGCTTTGGATACTCCTTGTCTGCCCATCCTACAATAAGTTTTGCAGGAAGGACACACTGTTCTAAATCTTTGCCAGCTATCAGAAGAATTACAGATATAGCTGGTTTCAGCTAGTTGTGTGATTACTGGGGCATCCAACTGTGCCAAAGGTGAAAAGTACACCGAGAGGAAGACTGCTTACTTCATCTTGAAGACCCCTCCTCACATGAGGAAGACTGCTTACTTCATCCTCAAGACCACTGCCCACAATCACCGGAGAGCAGTGCGCAGACACCAAGAGGAAGAGACTTATGATGATAAGTTCCTGGAGATAGTTATAGTATTCCCTGCCTATACGTGGGAATTATGAATATGTATGTGACTAACGCAGTAGTGAAAGTATATAAACCTGTAAGAAATACTAATCAGTGCACCTCTGGCTACAGTCACTTGCCCAGCGCTGTTGCTTTTGCATTATTGACTTTGTCCCTCAATAAAACCCTGTTATCTCTATTAGAGGAAGGAGCTCGTATTTCACACCACAGCTCCCTCTCTCCCCCAGCAGCTCTCAGGAGAATCACTTGTACGGTTCCCCTTCCATGCACTCACCATTGGCTTCCTGCTGTCTCCCTGCCACAATGCCCTGCGCTGCAGTGACCCCAAGGCGTCACAGCGTCCACAGCAGCATCCACTGCATCTCTGTGGAGCTGTTGGCCCACACACACTCTGTGTGAGATCCACAGGGAAGATCCTGGAAGGAAGCTCTTGGACTTCAGCAGAGTGGAAACTGCCAGCCAGGGCCGGGGACAAATGCAGAGGAGATGGGTGCAGCTTATATGGTGGCTTGCAGCCACACTCTGTCCAGTTCCCACCCTGACCATCCTCCATTCTCTGTCCAGTTCCTGCCTCTGCAGGGAGGGCCAAGGAATCCTGAAGCACTGATTTTCTCTCAGGAATATTTCAAGCCTTTGTGAGCCTGCAGTAGTGATGCCAGGTCACTGCCTACTTGTCCCCTGAGACTTGATCCAGGTGAAGGGTGGCATATGACTGCGCTGTTGTCAAATTAGGGTACGCTGTAATAAGTTTGTGTCCTTTCTGCAGTTGTCAAGATACTGGATCAAACTGAAGTGGTGGGGATAGATGATGTGTGACAATTGTAAAGCCTGCTTGGTGCAAAACTAACAGGCAGCATTTATTTCAGGAAATTTTTATGACTATAATAGCATCCCAAATGGTTCCAGACTAGAGGGCTGTCTACCCACTATCCTGTTTCAACCTGCAAGGACCCCCAATGAAGGTCTCTTCCAGACACCCATCCAGATACACATTGACCTTGGGGCTATTTGTGCAGCCACAACACCCTGTGGCAAGCACCTCTACTCTGCTGTGTGGTCAACTACCTCCTGTTCATTTTTCTTCCATCAGCCTAGTTCCTGCAACTGAAGGGGAAGAGTGCATGTGTAGCTCCTACCCACCCTCTCATCCACCTGTGATCACCTAAGTCAGCTTCTCTCCAGGTGAAGAGTCCCGCCCTGCCCACTCATTCCTTCAGGGAAGCTCCCTTCCTAGGGCAGGCACCTTCCTTCCCACACTGAAGTCTCACTGGAAAGCTGGTTAGGGGCCATCATCCAAGCATGCTGTTGTGGGAAGGAAGGGTTTAAACCTCAGGATCTCTGTTTTTACAACTGTTAGAGTCTTTTTGTGAGAAACAAGAAGCTGCAGCTCAGGTTTCATGGGTCTCTCCCTGGTTCTTTCTGAAAGCTGTGAATGAGAAGTCAAATATTTGCTGAGGGATGGGCCCAGGCCTCTGCTTCCCTTCCTGTGGCTGTGAAATGGGGGAAGGTGCAAGCAGCAGCAAAGAGACCACCCTCAGTTCAGGGGTCCCCACAAAGGGGTCCTTCTCCAAATGTGATGGGAAACTTTTAGTCTTGCCCTTGCTTTTCCAGTGGTGAATTCCTTGAGTGTGTCTCCCTTGTTGGCTGAGGCCCAGGACATGGAAGTCAGAACAGAGGAGACTCCTCTGTCTCACACAAATTTCCTTTTTAAAACATTAATTGGGAGGTTACGCAAAGGACATCATATTAACTTTGGGGTAGTACATGGCTCAGCATCCAACTTTAAATGTTGCCTTTGCTGAGTCATACAGAGGCACAGAAAGCAGCTAAAAGCAGAATGACGTGGCCAGAGAAAACGTCAGATAAGTTGCCGTGGAACAAGGTCACATCATTGCCCAGTCCAGATAAAGTCCATCCATCACAATGACTGACCACAGTTTTAAACGTGTATCCTTGCTCTTCAAAAGACAAAAACCATCATGCCCAGTGTGGCAGAAGCCAAATAACTTTTCTAGCTGACTTCAGTTAGGAAAGCTCCTAACCATCTAAGCCATTAGAAACCTTCTTAACTCTTTTCTATTAATTATAACAAAACTATTAAAAATGCAATATGTTGGCAGAACACTCCCCCTTGGTTGCATTAATACCATCACTATAATCATTACTTTGACACAGAAACATTTTGTATGGAAATGATTAAACAATTTTGCAATTAAACTCAAGAGGGAATTAGCTGCCATAAAGATAATTTTTCTGTGTCAGGTTTTGTATGCTGAAGTAGAATCCTAATAATTACAATAACAATCTCCTGACTTATATATTCAGATTGAAGACACAGACATCAACATTTTTGAAGGTTATACTGAAAATGTTGGTTAATGTGAGTTCTGTTTGAGTTCTAGTTCTTGTTTATGCCCATAATCTGAGATTTTTGTTTCTTAGCAGGGACAAATTTAATAAAAAAAGAAAATATAAAAAGGACCAAGTTTGGGATTTAGCTTGGACTAAAACATTTTCAGAAATAACAAGATATTGTGGTAAAAGTTTAAACCATTAGCGAATATGCAGGACTGGCTATCTCCTCTTCTAATTTCTTTGCTGGAGAACTTCAGTTATTTTCATTGCACGTAACCTAGAACAGAACAGGATTTGTGCTGCTGTTGCTTTTTGTCTGGGTTAGACATGGATGTTTCAGCAGGTAAGGCAAATTCTTGGAGCCTGGGAGCTGGCTGCTGGGGCATCTGCTTGTCCTGCCGGTGTGCCAGAGGAGGCATGTGCTTGCTTCTTCCTTAGCCTTTCTTATCATATGAGTGATATTTTTAAATTCCACTGGGAACAGGGTCTTTTCCCCTCCAGACAGTGGGAATGTTGTAGGCATATAGTTAAAAAATAGGACTTACATTATGCAGACATATAGTTAAAAATTGGATCTTGTGTTACTGTGGAAAACCTTAAACAAGGGCCTCCTAAAAGGTCAGGATGACCTGGGAACAACCCTGACTTAGGAAGAGAAGTAATAGCTGGGGAGATGCTTTTGGCCTTGTGTGGGTGGATTAAGAAACAGAGCTAATGAATCTCTAATCAGGAAAAACTAATCTTGAAGATTGGTATGTCCTGAAAACACATGGACATCATCATGGTATGACTTCAACATGTCAGCACAACATGATTAGGGTATCCTTTAGATGAACTATCCTCATTATGCCTTCATCATAATACTAAAAGGTGGTATAATACTAACAATTATGCCTCCAGGTTGAAAGACTCCTGCCCAGGTTAAAACACCCTTCCCTGATCAAGTTTAATGAGGAATCAATGAGGTAGTTTTATGTAAGTTTCTTGACCAATCGTTAAGTGTTGGGAGAGTTATGGTGAGGTAGTATCCTGAACTGAATTGTACAAATATGTGCATTTTGTATGGAGTGGTGTGCTAGCTTTGTGGGATACCACCTAGCACCCCTTTTTGCCCAAACTTGGAATAAACAAATACCTTGGTTCTGCATGGGAGAATTGGCTATTGCCCACTTGGTCAACAGGGAGAGCAGAAGCGAAGAGAACACCTGGGCTGAGTCTTTGGGGAGAACAGACAGAAAGATCTCCCATGAAATTCTGAAGGACTGAGGTAGCAACTGGTTGCATCCTCCAGAGCTAAAGAAAAGCCGTTGTGCCTGAACTCCAGAGATAATCTTGCATCACTGGTAGGATGATAGTAAATCACAGAGAAATCCTTTCCAGGTGCCAGGAGGTGGATCTAACCCACTTGGCTATCTGAATTCATTTGTACACAGCTCTTGTTTTGCCAGCAATGCTGTCTCTGGCTGGGATGAGCAAACTTAGACTCCCAACATTTTCTGTCCATCTGTGAGATATGAGCAGACTTACCCCCTTCTTCTGGATGAAGAATCTATGAGCAGGGAAAACGTCTGAAGATCTACACTGAGATTTGAAGAAAATCTAGGTCAGAACTGTCTTAATCTTGGCTTAGATAGCAAATGAGACTGAGTGAGGGGGAGTTTCTTGCATAGCTGTGTTGACTGATGAAAAGGGAGAGGAGGTGATGGGAAATGCAATACACTTCTCTAGCTCTGGAAGAGTTGCCTTGTCTGCAAGAGACAGAGGGTGGAAGAGGTTGTGGGAGAACATTTCAGCAGTAGCAGCAGCATTTCTCCAAGTCTCTCAATGATGGTATAGAGCCAAAGAATGAAGGGAAGACAGCTCTGGATTATTTAATGATTTCATCCTGTACAACATGGAGGAAGGTAGGATGTATGTATGTGACTCAAACTGTTCTTCAGGGACATTCTTGTTTGGAGGTTTCAGGCTATCTCAGGACAGCCAGCAGCAGCAGCCACAGCCATTATGCTTGCACCCAGTGGCCTGTCTAGAGTAACAGTGTTTTGGTGATTGCTCCAAAGTGCTAACAAAATTTCTAAGCAGGTACCAAATAGAGGATGGCAGCTTGCATATACATACTATTAAACCTATATAATCACACGGCATTTGGCTCAGGGTCATGCTGAAGCTCCCACTTGCTGGTACTGGACAACTTCCCTGTCATTTACCTGGCAAGATGAAGTGTCCAGCTTAGTCTGCCCACTTAGTTTTTTATACCTTGTAAGGTGTTGCAGACTAAGGTGTTGCAGACTAACTATTGTGGTTTTCTTTTTGAGGAAGTTGTAGGAAATACGAGGCATATGTAATTTTAATTCACCTGCTCTATTCCCTAATAAATATTTCCAGTGAAGGTCTTCTGCACCCAGTTTCTCAGGATACTCTGGTTTTCTAAAAGCCAATTTCTTTGCACATAGCTGGATCCCAGCTGGTGCTTCCTTCTCTGAAGACATTCAAAACCCACCTGGAGACATTCTTGTGTAACCTGCTCTGGGTGGCCCTGCCTTGGCAGGGGGGTTGGACTGGGATGATCTCCAGAGGTCCCTTCCAACCTTAACAGGTCTGTAATTCTGTTGTCAGTGACCTGAAACATGCTCACAGAATAGTGGATTCCTGAGAGAAGCAAAGCAATTTGCTTGCAGAGAGCTGCACAGCAATTTGCCTTTCTTTCTAGGGACCCTTGAGAGAAGCCAAGGAAGCTGATGGACGAGAAAGCAGAACTGCAGGAAAGAACTCATCAGGCACAGAGCAGGATTTCCAGTCTATTATATTTGGCAGATCTCAAGATTCTCACTGAACATTTTGTTACATGAGCACAGAAGCATATTTTTGCCCCATCACATCCCCCTTATGCTGTGAAATAAACCTTTCAGAGCACTTTGATTAAGAGCTGTGGCAGGTATGAGCTGAAGGGTAAATTGTGCGGACATGGGAAAGCAGCTGAGTACTAACAGGCAGGAGGCATTTGTGTTAAGATAAGTGGCCTTTTGGCATGTAGGAGTGGGCCTCAGTGTCTGCGCCTGGGTACACATACCTATGCACATCTGCCTTCTGAAAGACCATTGTAGCTTTTGTGAACCTTGTCTTTTAGTGCCTTCATCTGTTTTCTCAGGTAAGGTCATTTTTACTCAAGAAGGATGCCTGCTTCCCAACAGGCCATCTTCAGCCTCGCTGCTGAAGTGGAAAACATGAGCCTACAGTTTGTGCACCTGCTATAGGAAGCAGGGGAGGGCAAAGATACCACTGCTGTTAGGGGTCCTGCAAAGCGTTGGTCCTACTACTGGCTGTTGGTAAGGAGGCAAGTGAGGTGGCTGAGATCCAACCTGTTACCTGACAGTGTCATAAGCATTTGTGAAGAGCAGGTAAGGTAGGCTAGAAATACAGATTCTCTTTCCACACAAATGCTGCTTAAGAGGCAGCAAAAAAGAAATGTTACATGAAATATATGTATGCTACTGAGGCAAGCATTTTCAATTTTTAGTGAGTTTGCAAATAATGATTTATCCTAGGAGCCCCAAGCCCTGAGCGTCTAACTTACTAACTCTGTAAAGCAGGCAGTTCACAGGAGAAAGAAAAGCAGCATATTGTGCAGCAGCTGTTTCATCTTGTGGTCATGTAAATGAGTAGCTTGACTGAAGTCATGCTACTTTTAATCCCAGACTACACCTTTCACAACGACTTCTTCCCCACGTTTCATTATGGGCCACAGTAACGCTGGGCTTTTCCAGTTTTTCGCTTCTTTCCAATTGAGGTGCTCTAAATGTTTTACTGTGCTTCCCTCTGTTTTCCACTCAGCTTTAACCGGTGGGTTCTGAAGAAACAGCAAACAATAAACTTGGCAGCACTTCAGTGTGAACACCTTTTCAATTTCGGTTCTTGGGACAATGCCAGCGTGCTGAAAAGATCAAGTGAGAAGAGTTTACAAAGCTTTGTAATGTTATGTTAATGTAATGTTACACTGCCTCCCTGCTCTTGTTGTGTGTAGCTGCTCCTCATAAACTTAGCACTGAAGAACTTGCTTTGTCAAAGATGATGGTACCATTTGAGTAGGACAAGCAAAGGTCCGAGGGTTACTTAAAAGACTGTTCTGGCATCCAGCAACTGTCTCTGTTTCCTCATAGAAAGATCTGCAAAGAGCTAAACTGGCAGAAAGGGTACTGTGAAAAGGAGCTATGAGAAGCCTCATCTCCAACCACAGATGCTCCACCACTTGTCCCAGGAGCTGATTTAAACTCAGTGGTAGCTGGGTGTTTGCCCAAGCTTTGATGTTAGGTTGTTTGTGCCCAGTTTGGCTGACCCTGACCACACAGACTGACTTCCCACCTTTGACTTGACCTCTATGGTCACTGTGGCTTTGCCCAGTCATCACTGGGCTGTGGCTGATCTTGATCACCTCCACCGGTCCTGCTCTTTGCATCTTGCTTGGGTTCAGCAGGACTGTGCCATGTTGGTAAGGGCTCTGTCCTGCCTGTCCTGCTGTTCCTCACTGCTCCCAGTGTAGCTCTGTATCTTCCGTACAAGGTTACATGTATGCATGGCTCTGAGAATATTTTGGAGGTATCTGAGCTGGAAGACCCTCACCAAGTTGTTTACAAGTGCTAAACATCCCCAAGCAGAAGGGACCCCACCATTGTCTTTATTTTTTTAAATACCAAGCTGCGGAGACATCCCATAAAACTGAACCACTGCCACTATTCCCGGTCTGTATCTTTACTCACCGTGACAATTTTGCTGTAAAACTCTAGTTGGTTTTTGTAGTGAGAATGCCTGAGGATATTTCTTATATAATGCATCACCCCCTACAAAGCAAGCAGAGCACAAAGCAGACTGTTAGCATGTGGCATAGCCAGCAGCGCAGTCCTTGAGCACCGGGAATCTTTGTTTCTCAGACTGTGCTAATCAGCAATGAAGAAGTCATTCATTTCAAGCTTTGGAGGAAGCTCCCATTAAAACAACACATGGCTGGAAAATGCTTTCCGCACTTGTATATGTGCCTCGGCTGGCTGGAAAATTCAGACATGTAGCGTGTGTATGTCTACTGTGGGACACAGAATCATAAAATCTCAAGCTGGAAGGGACCCACAAGGATCAAGTCCAACTCTTTGCTCTTCGCAGGAACAGCTTACCTCTTAAAGAGAAATACCTGTTTTATCCATTGCTGACCTCATACTTAGGGTTACTGGAGCTCAGCTTTCCATACCCTCATCCCTCTCAGCTGTCATTGCTGATATATTTTGAGCAGTGTCCCTAGCAGAAGCTAAGTTCTAAATGAACGGTGTATGCAGATGACCCTTTTATCCCACTGCCTAGGTGCAGTTATACAGAAACATGAAATACCTGGTCGCTGTCGATCGTAGCATCATCCAAAGGTGTAATGCCAAGAACTTCATTTACTTTAGCTATTGTGTCCTGGATATGTGTCTCACAGGCAACAAACAGCTTCTGCAGTGCAAAGACAACAGCTGATTACAATAGCAGTCATAGTGAAAAGAGAAGTGTAGTGTGGAAAGCATGTGCTGAAACCACATCTGCAGTAGAGTAAACTGTAGGGCCACTAACTGGTTGAAATACCTGGTAAATAAACTGTTTCATCAAACTGCTAGCCTTTTGAAGCCCATTCTTCAGCATCTGTGGGGCCTTATCACCACAAACAGTGCTAATAATACCTCATCTCAGTCTCATCCTTTAAGGTATACCATTTTGGTATTTTCCTTCAGATACCCCCACCATCAGACCAAGTGGGTCAGACATCAGAATGAGGTCTCCCATCTAGTACTTAATGCATTACCCATAAGGAAACTGAACTGTGTTTTCTCATTTGTGCTTAACATGGGAGAGATCTGTGACTGGGATTTGAATATGCCCTTCTGAAAGTCAGGCAGAAGCAGGTCACTGTCAGTTTGCTCTACAGCATCACACAGGCCCTGCCAGACTGGAAAATCAGAGACACAAAGTTAGTCCTCAACCCTGTCTGATACAAAAATACTAATACTCAGAGTCTGCTATACTGGCTACACCATATTGATCTGATAAGAGTCAGATTGAGAAAATAGACATAATCATACCTTAATCATGATGCTGCCATCTTTATTTGTCAAATTGGTCATGTTTTGCCTTAATTTTTCCCAGTCTTGTAGCTTGAGCATATTATACATGCCCAGCACAGCAGACAGACGCGAATCATCATTCATGTTCTCAGACTGCTTGTGCCTGCCCATCGCTTTAGACAAGAGCTCTTTGTTTCTAGGACAAGAAGGGTATTAAAAAACTTAGCTACAACAAGAGTAACAATGAGTAAGCATAATTATTTCACAGCATGTTATGAATTTATTTCATGAATCCCGTGTTTTCTACAATGTACTTCACAACTATATTATGTAGCTAGCAATCACCTTTCGTGTGGGAAACAGTACTTTCTTAGCTCGGTTTTACATGATCACAGTGGAATGTGATCAGAAAGCAGCATTTTGACTCTGTCATTGTAGGCTGATATCTTTTATTAAGAATTCACCCTGGGAATGTCTCCTTCCCTTTCCAGAACAACCCAAGCCATCTTCCAGTTAGAAAGAGGTGACATCAGGTTGAAAATCTGGGGAGAAGGAGCTTAGGGCATCTGGTCAGAAACAAAGTGTCCCTAAGGACTGGATGAAGCAAGAAATATGTGGTTTTTCAGTGTAGAAGCACATTGCATCAGAAATCTGAACAAATATCTTACCTTTTCTCTAGCTCTGTGACCTCTTTTTTCAGCTTCTCATTCTCTTTCACCAGGTCTTTTTGGGTGACCTCTACAGAAAATGCTCTGAAACAGATTTCTTTTGTGAGATCTCTTTATTTGTGCTTGGACATTGGGACAACTGTGAACTTGCCCCTACTGAATAGTCTGAATTCCAGAAAAACAGCTGTGGTGGGAAAGCACAAATCACCCAGGAAAAACTCCAAAAGAGCTCAACAACCACCCCTGAAAGCTCCCACCTAGGATTTATGCTCAAATCAAGGGAAAGCTATTTACATCAGAAGAAAGAGAAATGGGGTTGTGAGGTTCAAAGGTTGAAGGCTTGAAGAAAACACAGGTGTTCTCCACTTGTTAGAATCTATTTTTGTCTTTCCTCTACTTGCTTTCTCCATCTTTAACATCAAAGTGTTACCAGCAAACATCTCAAACCCTCTAGATAGTTCTGTTCTCCTCGATTCTTTTCTCCACACGTCTGGGTAACGTCAGTTCCTCTAGTGAGTGAAATTCTCCCATTTCCACTTCCAATGCCTGCTATTTCAGTGATACTATTAGAGCTTAGAAGAGTCCTCCCTACATGATGACTCTAGGTTTATTGCAGACTTACACTGTGGAAGTGTGCGTGCTAGAAATATTTTGCTACTTATCATTCACCGGAGGTTTTTAGAGGTTGTGCCTTCTGTATTATAGATCTCAGAATAAGTATATGCAGCCTGAATATAAAGGAGACCACTTGTTCAATGTTTCTTTTTCCTCCTTTCAGAGTGAGCAATACCATCTTATATTAATATTCTGATTTTGTGAATTATCCATTGTTAATGAAATTACCTTTATTACTGCACAGAGAAATATTGTGTTCAGAGCTTGTCTGCATTTGGAGGTGGTAGAAGTATTATGGACAGTGGAGAAAGATGACTAGCTGTAACTGAAAGGGCAACACTGAGAAGAGGGAATTCAGCAAAACCAATACTCACTCCTGATAGTTCCTGTGTCCCTGCTGGTAAGGATGAGAATCACTGCTAATCTTCTGTATGTTGTAATTCACAGGTGCAGTAAACTGCCTTGAGATGGAAGAAAACAATCTATGTTAAGGAGCGAGACCTGAGAACAAACCAGGAATGAATTTGACAGGTGTAATCTGCATCTGGACTGGTTTCCTGACAACCTTCTGTAATTAGGCAAACAAACTCAGGGACACACATGACTGAGTGTGGTCATCATTTGGGCCTAGGTGTAGTGTCTGGGAACCTTTGCCGTACACCAGACCAAGTCACAAACTTGAGCTACTCTGGAAGAAAGCTCCAAAGCTTCAGAAAGTCTGAGTATTCCTCTGTTATTAGGCTATCAATGACTGCATACCTGCAAACCCTTGATGACCCCACACATACTTCAGCTGTGATCAGAAACTAAAATACCACAGCCTGTCTTCATGGAAATCCCAACAGGAAAGCCTCTTCTCCACAGAACTGTCCAGGAAGGATGTGGGCATCCAGCTGCAGTATTTCAAGTTTATTCCCTCCTGGCCCTAGTCACCAACAATGATTTATGTTTGCATTTAATCCCCAAGAAGCCTTTCATTAGGCTACTAGCTCTTTTTCTTTCCTCCTGATTAACAATTTCCATACTTCTTGCCAGTTTTTCTGCCATTATGTCTTCCCTCAGTGCTTGCCTAGTTCATTAAGAGGGTCTCTGCATATCTACTTGATGTCCTCAGAGCTGCTTTTACCAATTCTTCATTCTATGTTAGGCTGGACGCCTTTATACTGAGGGCTGCTGTTGTTAAGGCAGCCATTACGCATTCAGAGAAGTATTTGCATGGGAATGGAAGTTCATGTAACAACCTGACATGTTTTCATGTCATGTGCCCTGGTCCTGTAGCATAATCTGCACCCTGAGACAAACACGTTTCAGAGGCAACTCATTCCTGGCCATGACAATTGCAGTCAAACAGGAGAATGAAAATCTGGCTGTCCTGCAGGACAGTGCTGTGGTAAGCAAGGCTTGAGTATGTTTCAGTGACAGTTGCAGACGCATTTATGATTTTCTCTCTTATCTATATTTTTAATATAAAGAATCACATTACCTATGGTAGCTCTCCAGTGACTCCAGTCGAGTTTCAACAGAGTTATACCAGGCCTTTTTCTTCCTGTCCATCCATCCATCCATCAGGGGAAGAGAGAAATAATAAACCATATCCAGTCAGTAGGCAATTATCCATTAACGTCCTAAGAAATGCACAAGCATTCCTCCCTCCAATTCCTGATCAACCCAGAAGGAAAAAAGTCTAGAGACCAAAATTTCTCTAGGCTGTCCTTTGCCAGGTGGGTGGTTTGTGATTCAGGATCGATAGCGCAAATAAAATACTCTGAAAGTGTAAAATCTGCACGTTACATGGTACAGATGGAACAGCTTCTCTAAGTTGTCTCTGGGTTCCCTATATAGCCCTGAAAAATGTATTGCTTGCTCAGAGCCCCCCTTGGGTCTGGCTTATTTGTAATCTTCTGTTCAACCTGTCCTATCGTACACCAACTAAGCTGATCATTAGGGGCCATGCTAAGCATTGTAAGTTCTGGTCACTGGACTCACGCTGCTTGTTCTTCTAGCCACAACAGCCTTTGATTCATTTCACAATATGAGCTCTCCAGCGCTGGAATCCTGTTTTCATAGGTTGATGGTTGCGATGAGGTGTCGTGTGTTTGTCTAATGCAAAAAGAAAAGGGAATTCTTCAAATGAAGGCAAAAAAGATCACATACTTTGAACCTTTTAAATAACAGCCCCATGAGCAGAGGCTTCATGGCTACATCAATGCTACCAAATAGAAGACCAGAGCCAGGATAGAGGCTTCAGGGTGCAGGATGGCCCAGCACACACCTGAATGCAGTCTTCACACAAATGAGCTAGCACTCCTCTAGATGAGGCAGCTCAGGGGACTGCACAGGCCAGGGTTTACCAAAAGTACAAGGAGGGTTTGAGCAATCATTAGAGCTGGATGAAGTGGGTGATATACAGGAATAACTCCTGAAAAACAAACTCAACTCAGGTCTGCAGAGTGTGGGGAACAGCAAATGCAGGTGGCTGTTCTGTTAAAACCAACTTTGTAATGTATGGGTGTGGGGTCTTTTTAATAGAGAAGAACAAAGCTGTGTTCTCAAGGTATTATTTTATTTCTTCAACTGCTCTGTGTCCTGTTCCCTAAGGAGGATAACAAACATCAACTATTATTGCAGAGACAACCCCAGACGCAGGGGGAGTATAGACAGCAAGCTCTTTCCTGCAACCCGGCAATGACAGAGAAAGCCTAAGCGTGAGGCTTCATCATCAGTTTATGCTGATCCAAGTCTATAGGGCTGCTGCAAGGGACTGTCCTGCCCTTCTCTTTTAGCACCTCCCTTCTCTTTTACTGAAACTGCTTTTGGTTTCGTTTATCCAAATTGATTCCTTTCCAATTCATTTCCAGTCTTCTGCAGAGGACTCTTTTCTTTTTTGTTTAAGCTCAACAATTTGGCATAAGATTCACATTTATGTTAGTGTTTCCCTGCAGAACTGACGAGCTCAGAAACTGTGTCCCCAAAGTGCAGGATCTGTTACACTATTTATACTGTTCTTTCCAATTTCTCTTGCTCTTACACCCATTGAAAATCTGCCTCACCCTTTGAAGCTGAACTTCAACTGAATTTGAGGAAATTAGCCACCCCTGTGATGAATAAGAAATAGAAAAGAGTTTTTACTGAAATATTTTAGTCAGCAAATATTTGCAGTCCTTCATTGCAGCCCCCAAAGGGACTCTGTAGAAACATTCAGACCTACTACAGTAAAACTTGATTAAGTTTAGCCAGAGACAGACACTCCCCGTGCAACATACCTGCTGACTTCTGCAGTCCTCTCTCCAGGATCAGCATCCATATGCAGTTCTTTAGATACCTCCATTCTGGTGTCGTATGAATCAGGGGTGTCCGTGACTTTATGGCAGCAAAAAATGTTTGCTGAAACGAGTGGCAGCACAAGGGACTGTGCTGCCAGCAGAGCAGGAGTATACTGCAAGTGGCAGGCAGCTGCTTGCTTTCACAACAGGACTTGTCTGCTCTGAATAACGGAAACAAGCCCTTCCTTCTTTACAGGAAAAGGCACTATTTCCTTGAATTGTTTCTATGATTGTGTCTCTCACCAGCCAATAGATTCAGGGGAGGAAGGCTTCATCCTCCAGTGTTACACAGACCAGTTTCAGTTTCATTCCAGTCCCATCGGTTCGTTCCTCTACAGCTCCCTGAGCTGCACACATCTGCACTGCCATCAGTCATGACTAGCAAGTCAGTCTTCGTCATTGCAATAGATTTTGGCACGTCCTTCAGTGGGTACTGTTTTTCCCTTGCTTCAGGTGCAGACCAAATCCGGCAGGTGTACTGGGGAGCAGAGTATGGGTTCAAGACCCCAAAGACACCCACATGTATCTTGTTCAACCACAAGAAGGAGTTCAAGAAGTTTGGCTATGATGCTGTAATGAAGTACAAGAGCCTGCCCTCCACTGAAGCTGACAACTGGTACTTCTTCCAGAACTTCAAGATGAAGTTGTACAACACGGTAGGTGGAAGGAACAGTTACTTCTAATGGGAATCAGAGCTATTGATTTATTGAGGAGGGGGGTTAAAGAAATTGGTGAAAAAAGGCTGAATAAATCTGGATGATGAGGATGAATGAAGAGAAATCAAAGAGTATTTTGGGGAACCGAAGAAATTATTTATTTTCTTAATTAGACAAAGGCTTCATGGGCCCTTCCTTTATGATGCTGTTCTTTGTCTAAAGATAATAAAACCTAACTGCACACTTCAATGAAGCCAGATACTTGTTTCTATCAAAAAGGTGCCCTGCTCCAGAGTTTGGCAGAGAAACCAGCCACCTTCTGGGGCTCCCTGCCTCAGTCCTTGACAGGGAACAAGTGAAGTTTCCTGTAGTTCAAGTGAGATGGGCAATTTCAGGATCACCATGGGAATTGCCCACCCTGCTCGAATTACAGGGACTGAGGCAGTGAGCTACCTCCTCCTAGCTTGTATCTTCTTCCCCTGAAATGGTATGATGAAGCTGATTTAAGGGTGGCTGGCTGCCCTTCCAGTATGTGTGATACCCACTTCAAGTAGTGACTGTCATTGCTCTCCGAAGGCTCTGTGCCAGTTCAAAATTGTTTACAGCTTCTTCTGGGTCTGCTCGTTCAGTCAGAGATTAGGCTACCTTAGGGCCTCCTTGTCTGTGAGCCAGGGTACCACAGGGCTTCCCAAAGCTCGGAGTAACCCACAGCACAGGGACAGCCCAAGTTAAGGTCTTGTTTGGTCTTTAGCATCCCCCAGTGCTAAGGAATGAGTGTTGAACTAGATGCCACAGTGGGTGGGAGGCCTCTGTGGAGACTTTCCTCCCCGTGAAAGCTGGGAATGATGTGGTCTGCCACAGTGTCACCTGTGGAGTGGTGAGTTCTCATTCACTTTCAGAGGGGGCTGGAGAGACATTTTACTTCAACCCCAACTCTCTGCACCCAAGGAGAAAATGGTTAAGTGAAATTTCATTACAGAATTAGATAATGGTTGAGGTTGGAAAGGACCTCTGGAGGTCACCTTCTCCAATCCCCCTGCTCAAGCAGGGCCACCTAGAGGTGGTTGCTCAGGACTGTTGGCTGGCCAGCTTTTGAGTATCTCCAAGGATGAAGACTCGACAGCCTCTCTGGGAAACCACTAGAAGGGCTCAGCAACAAGAAAGGGGAGCACCAGTTCCCAGACACATACCTATTTATTTCTGAATCTCCATAGAAAGTGTCTGTGGACAGCTTCCTTACATCACCTGCTTCTAACTGAGCCAGGAACAGTGACAGGAAATGAAGTTGTAAGTAAAAATGGATATAGATTCCTTTTCTCTACAGTGGCTGCACTTACAGAACAGGATGCACCTCACCTTTCCTGACTGTGTCTCATTTGAGACAGGTAGCACCTGGACTTGCCTGTTTTTCTCCATTGGCTGTAAAGGATCCCAGGTTATTGGAGCTGATTATCTAGTTGATAAAGCTTGTGATTTAGGGCCGCCTTTTCTGGCTGCTGAAGCAAAACAAAGAAATGCACGTGCAGTGCAGGCATGCAGTGAAGGCTGGCTCCTGAAACTTCTTTGGACACAGGCAACAATTCCCATTCTTACTAGACAGAGCAAGCAACCAGGGACTGATGGAGGGAGTTTTGGTCTCATGAGAGAGACTAAAAGTGTCAGAGCAGCCATCTGCCTCAAGCTTCAGATACACCTAGGGGTACATATAAACGAAGAGGGTGCAATAGATAGAAACTGTGTCAGACCAGAGGATTATTCGTCTACATGTTTGTCCAGCATACATTTTGTTAATGCCATACATGGAAGTATAGGTACAACCAGAGAGCTCTGAAGTCTCTATACGAAAGTGAGGGAAATGTATATGGCAGTGTCACGTAGAAAATACAACTTTCTGCACTGGCTCTTCAGGAGGATCTACAGGTTTTGTACAAAATTTGCCCTATGAAAAGCAGCTGACTTATCAACCACATTGGTAGTTTGCCTACTGAATCACAGATGTTGTGGATAAGCAGTTTGATAGCTGACCTGTGTCAATCAAACTGCAGTTAGCCACAATACTGAAGGTGTTGCTGGGAGTTTACTCAGATTTGGAGACAGGCCGTCTTTCTGTGCCATGTGTCGTTCAGTGCTCAGTGTGAAGGCGACAGCTCTGTCCTGAGACTGCAGTGGGTGACCCTAAGACTTCTCTTGTAGAAAGTCACATCTGACATGGGGCTGAAAGCCAGCAATGGAAAGATGTTTCCCGCCCTGAAGGTCTTTTCTGAAAGCTTGCGCTACCTGAAGGAACATGCCCTGAACACCATCCAAGAGGCTTCTTTCGAAACAGTCTACAGCAAGGAGGCGATCACCTGGGTCATTACTGTTCCAGCCATATGGAGCGCTGCTGCCAGGCAGTTCATGCGGCTGGCGGCAAAAGAGGTAAAAGCAGGGGTTATCCCACCTGCCTGAATTATCTTTGGGGATTTCTTTGCCTGTTGGGGCAGAGGAACTCCTCAACATTCAAACAACCTGTATTTAAAATTTCATCTCCCATGTTGGGAGTGGTGTGGGAGAGGATATCCCAGACTGGCAGTAACAATTGCTCTTCCCTTTCCCCCTACCACCGTGTACAAATGAGCCCCACGGAGATCACCAGTGCAAGAGCTATCACCCAAGCATGGGCTCCTGGGGTGACAACAGCCTCCCTAGCAGGTGGCATTTGTGCAGTGGTGATCTCACCACCTTTCCTTGATCTGACACCTCTCTCTTGTGATTTTAGGCAGGACTTATCTCTGACATGATCTCTGAGAAGCTGATCGTTGCCTTAGAGTCAGAGGCTGCATCACTGTGGTGCAAACAGCTTCCACAGGAAGGGTTTGTGACAACCAGCAGTGACAAGAAGAAGTTTGAAGACTCCCCTGGGATCCAGTATATTGTTGTTGACTGTGGAGGTAAAATTTTCCTTGTTTAACAGGTGCCATCTTTGCTGGGCATGGAGCATGGCTCTTTTGCATTGTTCCAAAAGGTCTACAGTGCAGTCCCAGAGCTTGACTTCACTGCTGTGCTTGTCATGGGGTTGTTATTTCTATTTCTCACTTAATGAGATCCTATGGCTAGGCAGAAAAATGGGAGAAAAGGGAAGGACTGCTGAAGGTGAGACCCATGGCAAATGGAAGTCACTGAGTGTCTCATGCTGTCATGCACTTCAGGCCAGACAGTCAGAGCAAGAGCCAGATGAGTCTGCACCGTGTCCCAGTGTCAGGCACCAATGCATACCCACATGCTCTTTTTTATTGCCTGAACTCACAGCTTCCTCTGTGGGAGCATCTGCAGCACCCAGTGAATGGACCCTGTAGAATAAATCATTAGAGTATTTGGTGAAGCACCTCTTAGTAATTTCTCTATTTTCCTGTGTGAGATTTTCTTCACTGTGACAGGGATTTCCTGCCAAGAGCAGTCTGGTGGTTGTGAACAAATACTGACAAGTCTTCCAGGGGCCCACAAGTTTCTGAGAGACTCAGCACTGCTGCTCATCTTCATTTAGAACGTTTATATCAAAAGGCAGGAGTCGACTATCTGCGTGAGGAGGCCAGTCTTCTTTTGTGATCAGAAAGGAGATGAATTTGTGCAGGGAGCAACTCATCGGCAATTACTGTAGGAACCCTGAGAGAGCAGGCTTATAAAGAGAAGTGCATAAATTTAGGAAACCTAGAGGTGTGCAAGCACTAGTGGAGGAGTGAGGACAAGAAAAGAAAGTGACAGAAAAGCACCCATGTGAACCAGGAGTTCAGAAGGTAAGATTATATTCAGTGGAAAGTAAGGATTTAAAGAAAACAGCTAAGTTCATTTGTGTTTGTGTGTGTGTGTAGGTGGCACAATAGACATCACGGTGCATGAGATCCAAGAAAACCATTACCTGAAGGAATTACACAAGGCATCTGGAGGTGGATGGGGAGGCAACAGAGTGGATCAAAACTTCATTGATTTCCTCAGGGAAGTATTTGATGATGGTGTATGGAATGAATATGAAGAGAAATACCCGACTGAATTACAACATATGATGTACAACTTTGGTCTACAGAAATGCTCTGCTAGCAGAGAGGATGTCTACATACGTTGCTACTACAACTTGACCAAACTGGCAGAGCGCAAGAAGAACATCTCCCACTTCTTTAAAAAGCACAATGGAGTTGTGTGGTGTGATGGGGTATTCATGGTTACGTATGAGAAAATGAAGACCTTTTTTAATTACAGTATCAGAAATATCGTTCATACTTTGAGGGTAATTCTTAACAAGCCTGAGATGGCCAAGGTCCAGTACATTTTGCTTGTAGGAGGCTTTTCATCTAGCATTACCTTGAGAGATGAGATCAGTGAGGCCTTTAGTGAGGGGTATCATATCCTTTGTCCTTTGGATGCACAAGCAGCTGTTGTAAAAGGGGCTGTTTTATTTGGAGTCAATCCATGCATAGTTGCCTCAAGAGTCAGTGCTCAGACATACGGCATAGCAGTAGCTCAGGAATTCAATGCTGCT